ACGTATTCGTGCTTAAGAACACAGGAGAATTTCGGACGAATAAATCTTGCTTGTATTTTGTAAATATAATAATACTTTGTTTCATAATAAACAATTTGTCAAGTGTCATTTATTTTCTGGTAATAGTGCATGTTTCAGTCGGGCAAATCTTGATTAATATTTGATACGCCGTTTTTTGCATATTTCAGACACATCCAGAAATATGCTCCCGATTTTAAAGATTAATATCTCCGTGAATTTTTAAGTGAAATACAACTGTAATATATCAAAATCTAAGTTAGTCCTTCCTCTATTTAATGCAAGTTATTTCTCTTCAAAAGCTGTATTTGTTTAGAAGTTATTACGAATCAAACAGGAGTACTTTTTTTTGGGACACCCGGTATATAAATTTTATAATTTTTGGCGCTTTTGTGCAGTGATAAAATTTCCTAAGAATAATCCCTGCCTGATTGGGTAATTGCTTGGTCGAGTACCTGGCAAAATAGCGGACATTTTCTCGGCAGCATCCGCAGTTCAGTTATGTACAGGTCAGTCGAGATGACATGGAAGACAACATTGCGATGAGGGGGAACCGCTCTTGTATCAGAATGCTTATTGATAAATATATCATTGTAAGCCCAAAGATTACAGAATAACTATATAAATGTCTGAGTGTACTATTTTAAGAAAACTATCATTGATTAATTACTTATTTAAAAAGCGATCTCTAAAGGCCCATCTACACGATACGACTATATAGTCGTATACGATTCTTATCCTGGCGTATGAAAACGATTGCTGACGCAACTATTCCTGTTCATTAGTTTATGGCGAAGTTTGAAATGTGACATCTTTACACACATTTATTCAAGTACACACGCCTGGATTAGAATCGTATACGACTAGTCGTATCGTGTAGATGGGCTTTAAGGCCCGTTTTGTACGTCGAATTTTGGTCGCGTCGAATGCAATTCAAACAATAGATAATGAGATGATAAACCTCATTAAGCTTCATTATCTATTGTTTGAATTGCATTCGACGCGACCGAAATTCGACGTATAAAACAGGCCTTACGGCCGTTTTCCACTAAGCGGAATTTTCCGCGCGGAGCGGAATTTCTCTTTGTCTTTTTTAATTAGTTTCACTCGAGAAATCACAAGACAAAGAAAAATTCCGCTCCGCGCGGAAAATTCCGCCGAAAATAAAATAAAAAGCTTTTTTGGGGCATTAATTTAAGTTTGCCTACAATAAACGGAATAACTAAAGGCAAAGCATTCTAAACATGCGAAAAACGTTTTTTGGAGGGGAAGTTTTACTTGTGGACCTTTAGCCATACCTTAACTTTTCTTTTCTAGATAGAATGGTGTCCGGAATTAGTGCTGCGATGTTGTTAGATCGTGATCGGAAATCCTGTGGCTATGGATGGCTTATTTCGAAAGATAGAAAAGGCGTATATGTGATGACAACCAGTGATGTTCTTCATCGTATTAAGCACGATGAAGATGACCAATATGAAAAACTCCACTTCTTCATCGAGTCTTGTAATGACAAGGAACCAACTCCCTGCTCCATAATTAAGACAGAGAAAAAATTTGTTATTGTCAGTTCCAAGAAAGGCAGTGTTTTAGATTACGTTGTGCTTAGATTTAAAACATCTAGCAAAGTTGCTTCAGAAAAACCTTTGAACGTTTCTAAACAATGTCCTGAACCTTTAGAAACCGTGGGAGTACCGTATAGTAGCCTTGGTTGTCCAAATAAATCGTTTTGTCAACGTAGTATCGTGCTCCAATACCCTGAAGATCTTATTAATTGGCTAATTAAAGTCGGAAGCCGTTCCAGTTTCCACAGCGTTGCCAAGAGAGCTCCCTCACCAGGCTGTGATCCTACCATCGACTGGAAGAAAGCCAGAGATCTTCGTGAAGTTCTTATCCCTTATTGGAAGACTGACCATAATGCAAATGAATGTTTTTCTGGACTACCTTTATTTACTTTTCAGGATTCCCAAGTTGTTGGCATGTGTAGTCGCCGGGTTTTTATCACTGAAGAGATTAAGGAAAACCATTTTATTAACTTTGGTATTCGCATTGACCAAATTATTGCCGACATCGACAGCAAGAATCCACGTGTAGCTCGAAGTCTTTTTCCGGACTATTTTTAAGGAAACCAAGTTAATCTGGTTTTTTTTTCCAAATTACTGTTCGACAAATCTGATATATCTACATGCATTATAAGTTATCAATTAGTTTATTCTTAATATTATCGCAAAATTTCCCTAGTCCTAGAGTATAAGTATATCTTAATAGACTTAATATTACAACTTAATTAAAATATTAAAAAGTATCCATGTCAATGGTCCATTAATGCTGTTCTTAATAAAGGTGGCTCCCTACAGTTTACAAGAAAATGGAAGATCTCCGATTTTATAGACTTAATTTAGTGAGCTAGGCAAGCGTAGTGAGCTCCATATATATCTGGAGTAGGAACTTGGTTGCTCAAAGTGAAGCCAGTTTCGTGTTAACCGCGCATACAAAAACAATAGAAAGGGACTGGAACTGACGTCCAATAGCTCCTTCAATTTCCGCCATCTTGGCAAGGAGTGTGTTGAAATTTCGTATTTTGACTTCGATTTCAAGAATAATATTGTGATTTTATGAACTGAAAACTTGATTAGTGATACGGTCCATTAGAAAAAACTGGAATTAGCTGGGGAAATGGTATAAAAACTGTTTACGACCTTGAGAGCTATTGGACGTCAATGGCCGCCATCTTGGCTTCACTTGGCTTCACTTTTCTCATTGACCGAATGACTGAAGTTCTTACTCCAGATTAGAGGTGTGCGAATCCGATCGGATTCGGACAGTAAATTACTCGGATCGGATCGGATTTCGTTTTGTTTCTGTCGGATCGGATCGGATTTTGCAGGTTTTTTGTCGGATCGGTTCGGATTTGATTTTTCTTGTATCACGTCGAATTATTCGAATATTTT